TAAATTTTCCCATAAGGTTCAATGTAATTACCGTTAATCCGTTCCGGCGTCTGCGGACCACGCGTCAGGGGTGGAAAAACGGCCACTGACCACGTGGCAGGGCGGAAAAAATGGCCGCGGACGACGTGTCAGGGGCTGAAAAACGGCCACAGACCACGTGGAACGGGTGGAAAATGGCCGCGGACCACGTGGAATGGGCAGAAAATGGTTCGTAAGTCGAGGCGGATTCGTAAGTAGAGGTAAGTTTTTGGGGCCAGAGCTGATCGTATCTCGAAAATTTCGTTAAGTAGGGGCGTTCGTAAGTAGAGGTACCACTGTACATTTTATTTTTCTTTACTATATTGTTTCTTTCTTTTGTTTTTTTTCCTGCACCTATTTTTTCTTTTTATTCTTTTCTTTTTTTTTAGTTTGTATTAGTTTTTTATCATTGTAATTTTTAATAACATTACCATTGGAAAAAAAAAGATACAAGCTAAATAAAGTCACAAATTAAGTATCAGCATAACATGCAAGGATGTTATTACTAACTTCATAGAACTAGAATTATTTTTTTAAAATTTCCTTGACATTTCTTTCTAGCATTTTGGAAAATCCTTCTTTGATATAGTTATCTCCTTCCATACATTAATCTGTTGTTTAAACAGGAGGAAAAAATGTTGACTGTCAAATCTTGACAGCAGTACAGAAGTGGTTTGCTGTTGTCTTTTTCCAGAATGTTTTTTGAGTCCCAAGACTGTATAGACCTTGTCTCCCATCCAAGTATTAACCAAGTCTTGACCAGGCTTAGCTTTTCAAGATCAACCAAGATTGGCTAAATACTGCCACCTAGCTGGGTGAAAGATAAGATAGGCTCACAGCTACTGGTGAAATACTTGAATTGGTATGAACTTCCAGCTGTTAATAATTTGCCAAGTTGTTGTAAATCATAAAATCACAACTGAGTTTGAAGGTGGAAATTAATGTTGCTATCAAATACACACACACACGCACACATACAACCTACATGAAAGTTCTACATAGTGTTTTTCTAATTACAGGGTCTATTCTGAACAAATGAATTAAAATAGTAAGAATTTTTACCCTAGGAGTAACAACTCTTATCTAATTCAATTGTAGAGAACAGAAGAGGTGCAAATTATCATACTTCAGACACATTATGTGAAAACCTATTCTCTGGAGAAAGTTTTAATACTGGGAAAGATGAAAAGAAAGAGGACCAGCAGCAAGGTGGATGGACTTACAGTGGTGATGGGTGCACTATTGAAAGACCTGAAGGACCACGAGTAGGGACAGATCCTCCTGGAGAAAATCCATTTATTGGGCAAAGGTGTAACTGAGCCAATGGATGCTTATCATCAACTATTTCATCTAATCACTCCTTACTTTTTCCAGATCCTTTAACAGAAACTTTTATTTTAGGGATGTGCAAAATGGGAGGTTTTTTCCCACAACTTCCTATTTATTTCCTCCTTGGAATGGACCAATCCAAGAATTCTGGAGATAATGCTTCTAGAAGTGTATAATCCAGAATAAAAGTAGGTCCTTGTGTTCCAAAGAATAAACTTCCAGAAATGCACTAATCAACCCTAGAATGCTTGAATGCTTTTGTTTCATTGGGAAAAGTGAATTTCTTACAAATGAAACAGTCCTCCATATCCTTGCCAAAGAAGCCATATAGTTTTTTCCATCTAGTCACACAAATCATGATTTGATAAAAATTCTCATGAATGTTGCTTGAATAAGTTACCATGGCTTCGTGTCAGAAGATGGTATTTCATTGTGGGGTGCAATGAGCTTACCGCCAAGTTACATGAAAAATGTGTTTAGAAAAATCATCCCGTACCTGTTTTCAAACATTCAGATTTAGTGAAAAACAAGGAAACAGAACCAAAATGAGACTTGAGAGTTGGCCTATTTGACATTTCAGAGGGGCAACACAATTAGGGATCTAGCATTACTTAGCACATTCCTGGGTTTGCTGCAGGACAATAAACTCACAAATCTTGGTGTCTTCTTAGCTCTACCAAGAACAGAAATACAAATTCTGCACTAATTACCATGCCCAAGTACAACCCAGTCCACTCCAGCTCTCAGTTTCTATAGTGTTCCAGTAATACATTCTTGGTTTTTAACGGTTCTTCCCATATATGGCCCATTAGATCATCCCATATGCTTCTGTGGACCACCAGGTTGAAGCCAGATACTGACAATGGGCACCAAATATTACATTTATTTCAGGCACTAAATCTTTTGAGATTTCAGAGAAGAACAGAAACTTCATGAACCTTGGAGACCTTTTTATTTGGGTGCCCCCCTAGTGGACAACCTGCAGTATCCTTGCAGACCACCAATAGTCCATGAATCACAAGCTGGAAAAATGGTTCATATTGTTGTGGGGAAAAGAGGAGGAGGAAGGAGTATTAGGTCTATTTGCCGCCTTATTTATAAAAATAATAAAGATTAAAAAAATCTAAATGTTGCCTACATTATAGGAGTATTAGTAGAGAATACAAACAACCGTCTTTTGGAATAGCAAGAAGAAATTTATTCTTGTGATTGACAAGAAGTCACAACAGCTTGAAAGAAAACTTGGGAAAGACAAGCCTATAAAGCATTTAAACACATTACAGTTAAGGAGTCTCAACGTCTGACGTTTCTCGCCTGCAGCGTCTGAACGTAGCCTTTAGGACAGGCGCCACTGAAGCTGTGTCAGGGAGGGGAGAGAGGAAACAGGATCTGCATTACACCTTAAACTCAAGACCAAGAACAGCTGTTTTGCTTTTGCCTTTTTTTTTTCCCAAAGTTTTTAAACACAAGTACTAAAGGCTTGAACTCCTTCCTACGATGGGCCAAGGGCCTCTTCTGATTGCTAAGCTTCAGGCAGCCTTGCACAGGGCCACGGCAGAAAAGCGGACCTCTCCTTGCTCACGTTCAGTGAACTGCCGGCAGATCTTGGCTGACGCCTAAAGAGAAAAGGATGCAAGGAAGTCAGTCCAGCCACGAGAAGAGGCTGACCATGAAACCTACTCAGAAAGACATCCGCTTCACCTAATACGCATCTCCACGCCACACTGTAATATTATTCCACTGAAGTTGTGAAATCCAAAGTCTGGTATAGATGTAATGCAGCTAAGCCGTGATGGGGTTTGTTTTTGGCTTATCTTGATATGGTCTGTTGAACACACTTGATATGGTCTGTTGAATACATCCCCTATGGCAGTGTTGTCCAAACGTGGCCACTTTAAGATGAGTGGACTTCAACTCCCAGAATTCCCCAGCCACTCAAGTCCACTCATCTTAAAGTGGCCAAGTTTGGACAACACTGCCCTATGGCTTCATCATTATGTGCCCCAAAAGGCAAATATTACCTTTAAGAAACATTTAAAAATACATTTATTTTACACTTTAGTCAAGGTTAACTTGTACACCAGGCCAGGAACACCACTGTCCTATCTCCTCAAGAGGTGCATAATCATTTTACCAAGTTACAAGACTTATCTATGGTCTAGTATGTTGTGTGAATTTGGAATGGATGCCTTTTCCAGTTTCAGGAATTAGACTTTGCCTCATTAGTCATATGAGAAAAGGCAGCCATTCTGGGTTCAAGGACGTGTGAGTTAAGGACCTTGGTTAAGAGGTTGTACAGGATGGGAAGGGTGTAAAGTGACTGTGCAAAACTCTCTTTAGCTAACATCATAGTTAATGAAGGATCACACAGCATTTATAGCTTTCCCTAACTTCAGAAGGGAAAACTAGAAGCACCTTAATTAAATACTCTTTTAGGCATCTTCCTGTAGATACTGGAACCTGTCCATGACAGAAAAGTAATACATAGAGCGAAATGTGGGCTTTACAAAATCCAGCATGTTATGTAATGTGTTGTAGGAACTTTCTAAGGACAAGTGAAATATTGACCACCATAAGCTAAAAGAATCTTACCTTTAGCATGGTGTCATCTGAACTAGCTCCATGCTTTATAGGGAATGGCATTCTTCCATCTGTAAGCAAAGTTGTAGAACAAGTTCAGAACTTCAGTGGCACGTCCATATATGAAAATACTGGTATAAGAGGATTAGCTAGGTCCACTTTCTTGGAGGCTCACTGTAGACAACTTCCTTACTGTCCATCTGTAGCTGTCCACCTCCCAGCCTTGTTAGCTATTCAAATATCCATTAGCAACTGGCTCTAATATCTCCAAAAGGGAGAAGTAATCGCCCTCTCTTTCCAGACGCTGTACATTCCTTTTCACTTCTTCCCATTACCCATGAAAAGCACGACAAAAATTCCCATATTTGTTGTTGTTTGCAACTTATGGTTCATAATTTATGAACCATAAACCTACCACATGGGCTGAGCTCATACAACATCCTAAACTAACACGTGGTTGTTGTATGTACCCGAACTATGTGGTTAATTGATAGTTCATCAATTTACAAAAAGGCAAGTAGCATCTGTGTGTATTTACCTAACATGGATTTTTGAACTGCATCTCTGGACAAGTGTATCCTCCTTAATTCTGTAACACGTTGGACATGCTGCTTTGATGGCACAGCACACGGGCCTCTTTAAAAACTTGTGCTATGGCTCCTTAAGTAAATGCCAGTACAGGCAGTCCTCACTTAACCGCAACAGGGACTGGAAAATTGGTTGTTAAGCGGGGTGGTCATTAAGTGAAGCATAAACTGACTGCACCCAACTTTATGACCTTATTTGTGGTGGTCGTTAAGTGAATCACCACAGTTGGTAAGTGAATCACGCAGTTCCCCATTGATATTGCTTGCCAGAAGCTGGCTAGGAAGGTCATAAATGGTGACCATATGACCCTGGGACACTGCAACCATCATAAGTGTGAGCTAGTTGCCAAGCATCTGGATTGCAATCACGTGACTGCAGGGGTGCTGCGATGGTTGTTAACTTCAGCCACCAGTCATAAGTAACTTTTAAATATTGTCATAACTTCAGACAGCTGCTAAATGAATAGTCATTAAGCGAGGACTACCTGTATAGATGCCTAAAAGGAGTGCTTGCCTCAAATGGTACTCGAAAACTGTTCTGCATTGAAAGCTCTAATTATAGAAAAAAAAAATGGCCTTTTTGAAGTAAACAGACAAAACCTACCCAGTTCATAGAGGTATCCGCCCACACTGGCAAACAGAATGAAATGGAAATTCACCTTATCTTCTTCAGCCTAAGAGAAGATAGAATCAAGAACCTAGAAATCTACTTATTTTAAGAGGAAACATATAACAATCACTTTGGGGACACACATTTAAAAGAAAGAAGTGATGAAAATACTATCTTCCATCAGACATACACAAGTGGAGATCTAAGGCATCAGTAAACTGATTTCCTCTATTGTATAATTCAAATCAGTTTGAATTTGTGGAGGTAGGAACCATCTGTAAAAATCCCAGTGTTGACACTTAGAATAAATTATTCATCATCTGTTCTTAACTAATGTTTCTTGGGTGATCTTTTCCACATTTACAACTCTCTAGAACAAAGCTTGCACAACACTTTCCAGGAGTCCTCTTCTGAATTTTATGTTCTGTGTCTCCAAAGGACTTAAGTTTGGAAAACCAGATGTTATCTACAAGATCTGCAAATAAACCCCCCCTCAAAAAAAAAAAAAAAAAAAAGCAAAACGTGCATTATGGTATCTTCTCACAAATTTTCTCCCAGAAACTCTTAAAACCAACAGTAAGGGTTATAACATTTAAACCTTATATATTTGTGAAGAAAAAAACTAGGGATCTCTATTATGGTCTATGTGCTCTCTTGTCCCATAGAACTAACTTCTGAAGAACTGTGGCATACACTCTACCTTCAATGTTGCCCATCCCATAAAATTCAGCCTTACTCTCCAAGTAGCTTTTTCAAAAAAAGGTAGGGTGCCTCAGATAGTTTGAGGGGCCACTTGGCTCTGAGAGTAGAATGCAAATCAGTATGGACATTGAGTACATCAGCAAGCACTAGTTTGTCATGCTCTTCCCACCCTTACGCTAGCCTTCAATTTGTCTTAAGACAGTCTTCCCCCACAACCACGTTCAGAGCTGCAGACTCATCCACAGGCAGCAGGTTGTAGTAACACACAGGCATCACTTCCATCTTTAGTAACATTAGAACAGCCCATCTGACACAAGTAGGGAGGGGAGGGGAGAAATAAGAGTTAGCAAGCCTGGGGGAGTCACCCACTGGGCAAATGTGGCACAGCTGTTTCCAAAATTACTCAATTTCCTGTATTTTGGGGAGTGGGAGGTATCCTAAAAGTAGAACATTAGACTTCATTTCCCAGCAAGCAACAACGATTTCCTATTGGTACGGCAACGTAACGGGCAAAAGGAATAATCTGGAGGAACACAAGAAAGAGCCGCTACCAAGACAATGGTCAGATAAAAGAATCTGGAGTCGGGTGCAGAACTGTAATCTGAGGAAGCGTCTCAGGCAAGACCCTCCCTAATTCTCACAAAGATAAAGGGAGGGAGAGGGGAAGTGCATTCAGACTTGCAAGATTCTGTCCCTATACTCTTATAATAAATGCAGTATTCGTCTGCATGACTTTGGTTTCTAGTCTCATCTACCTCTAAGAGCTGACACACCAGTTTTTGGCACATTACACTGTTGTAAGCCTATAAATTTAAGCAGCATTTACCCGACACTGGCCTTCTTGGGCTACTGCATTGTGGGCTTCTTGAATGGCCTGGGAAGAGACAAAGAAATCAAAAAGGCTTTTTTTTCTTGTAACCTCCAGTGCTCAACACCATTAAGATGACTTAACCTAAGTCGGTGATTTCCATTCCAGTAAAACTTCATCTACCGCTTCTTCAACAAATGTTAATGCTAAGTGTGAATTCTGAATGAAATCCTTCAAATGAGAAAATCATAACATACAGGTAGTCCTTGAGTTATGTCCATTCGTTCAGCAATTGTTCAAAGTTATGACGGTGCTAAACGAATGGAATTTATGATCATTCCTCTGCATTCTGGCCATTGTAGCGTCCCCGCAGTCACATGATCACATGACTATTGGGACGCTGCAACAGCTTGCAATTATATTGCAGCAAGCCAGTGTCACGTAATCGCAAATTCTGATGTTCCCTGCTGGCTTCCCACAAGCAGTCAATGAGGAAGTCAACAGGAAGTCAGAAGTCGCGATCACATGAGATCTTTACTTAACAATGGCAACTGGGATTGCCAGAACTGTCATTGCTAAGCAACATGGTCATGTGTCATGCTTTAAGACTGCATTGCTTAGTGACCGAAATTCTGGTCCCAATTGTTGATGTCACCTGAGGAGTACCTTAATTTAAGTTTATATATTTAAAATATAAAGTAATTATAACTCATCCTGACAAACACTGACCTGAAGATATATAAAAACATATCATTACCCAACTCTATGTTAACGATAGTGAGAAACTGTCATAAGCATTCAGTCTTTCCTATATGTATTTTACAATTTCTACAGTTGTAATCAAATTCTTTACAAGTTCTCATTTAACAAGTCAGTGTATTCCTATTTATACTTGAAATAAGAGACTGGAATTGTTAGGAAACATGATGACATTTCTCAACACACCCTTAGCATCTGCTACCACCTTGAACTCCCTTGCAGAAAAAACTGATCTGAGTCACCTATCTTTTACCTTGTTGTTTTCAAGACGTTTTGCCCTCTCGTCTGGAGAGAGTTCAGCTGTTGCAGTGAGGAACTCTTTTAGTGCGGACCCTTCATCTGGAAAAGATGAAATCAAAAGTGAGAGCAGTGTAGACGGAAACCAAGTAGAAGCAGCTGTTTCCACCAGCTACATTTGCAAGCTTCACTTATTTTGAGGCACATTCATTCCTACTGAGTCAACAGCACATAAGTTTGAATCCAGAACATCTATAATTTCAGGCACACTCAAGAAACAGGAGAATTTATTTCACAGTCCTATGTAGGCTTAACTTTCAGAACTATTAGGGGCTCTAAAAATATTTTTTCATCTCTGCAATATCTCACTGTTGTCTGCTCCACCACCCTGAGGTCTTCTATATTAAATGTAAATTCCTTGGCCATTTTCTTCTCTATAGTTATGAAGTCCAATAGACAAAAAATCTGATTTCCTTATTCTAGAGTTCTGGGGACAGATTATCCTGGAGAAAATCTACGTGGTTGCTAAGAGTCAACACCAACTTGATGGCAGCAATACTAATATAACTTTATTGATTCGTCAGTTGATCATATCAAAACAATGGACGTCAGCCACAATAAGATACAATAAAATAAGGTAAAATAAAGGAAAATAAGACAAAGTAAGATAAGAGAAGATAAAAGTGAGATAAAATAAAATACAGAGACATAAGATGAGTACTAAAGTACAAAGCAGCATGTTTAGGTGAATTCATCACCTCTATGTGCAACCCCAATGCGTTCTATAAAATGTGGGGTTAGCTGGACAGCCCTTACTATAAACGTAACAGTCCTAATATGTGTTTGTGCCCTGAAGAAAATAAGATAATCCTTTGTTATGATCACACTATATGGTTCTGTCAAGTAGTGTCTGCAAGTACTGAGCCCTTGCTGGGGCATGATAATTGATAGCGATATAGGACTTGTGTAATGTCTTCTATTTCTGGTGCTCCACAAACGCCTTCTCTCAGAAGGGCGCTTGGCAGAATTGTCCGTTTTTAACCACAGAATTTAGCTGCTCAAATCTTGCTCTGGTAGGGCTATCCTATGGTATTGAGTCAGACCCATTGTCAAGTATTTTTGTTGGACAGAATATAATCTATCACTCAAAATCTAGAATCCGGTATGGAGACTCAGCTAAATTTTCTAAGCAACAACATTAAGATAGACACCCCCAAACTCCTTTTGGAGAGACATACTGTCTTTTTTTCTTTAGATTTTTTTATCCTGCCTTTATTATTTTTAGAAATAACTCAAGGCGGTGAACATATCTGATACTCCTTCCTCCGCCTATTCTCCCCACAACAGCAGCCCTGTGAGGTGAGTTGGGCTGAGAGGGACTGACTGGCCCAAAGTCACCCAGCCGGCTTTCATGCCTGAGGTGGGACTAGAACTCCCCGTCTCCTGCTTTCTAGTCTGATACCTTAACCACTAAACCAAGCTGGCTCTACTTTAATACCACAATCCAAAAATCACAATACTAACACTCTCAGAATTGCATTAAACTACAAGCTTTACTATGGCGTACTTTTACTGCAAGCTTCTCATGCCCTAAATATGCATTAATGTGCAGAAGTGAGCATTCTACGCGCGCTGGAATTCCTTAAGAACAGAGTTGACAAACGGCAGTTCAGATATTCTGGGAGAAACCAAAGATTATGAATTCTGAAAACATATTACACGGGAACCAGAATTCCAAATTGGGGGTCCTAAAAAGCCAGTTCAGAGTGATAACTTGTATGCTGTCTTCTTAGCAGTGGACAGAAACTATCTTCAGAGAGAGCATTTCCTAATGGACTCTACTGTGTCTCAAGGATTCAGGCTTGTATGCTGAACAGGAACTAATTAAGCCTCTTCTACTTTCATACACCCTTTAAGTTTACTAAGGCTGGTCAAAGTATTTGGAAACTTGCAAACAATCAAACTTGATTTTCAGTATCAAGTAGGTTTAGAAAAGAGCCAATTACTTTATACCTTCTTGGAATCAAGTTATCAGGGTGTTTTGGCTTAAAAAATAGGTATTTTAGAAGTGTGTTTCAAATAATTTTGTCACCTCCCTGAAAACTATAGCTGCCCAGGTTGTTCAGATCAGCGTGGGAACAGTCATCACTAGCAATGGTTCTAGTGCAGTATTTTTCAAACTTGGCAACTGGCAGGGGAATTCTGGGAACTGAAATCCACACATCTTAAAGTTGCCAAGTTTGAAAAACACTGCATTCGTGAGATGTTTTGCGTGTGATTTGCAAATTATAATTCAGATTAATCCAGCCAACTGTGGTTCCTTCAATAAATCATGGTCAAACAAATTATAGACATCTTTTTTTCTAAGCCACATATTACTCTTTGATAAAGGATTGTTTTCTCCAAACAATTTGAGAAGTATTTCAGGATATGAATCCATGTGTTCATTTGCACGCCATGGTGGCACTGAAGCTCTAAAGCTTCACAAAATTATTGGCTCTACTTCTATATTCAGTCTCAACCCATCAGCCGCTATTTGGTACTTGGCCCGGCTCCTAGTTACAGTGTAAGAGTATAGATGTCCCAAATTAAGTCTACCTGCTTTCTGGGAAGGCTGAAGCTATCAACCTAACCTCCAGACAGGTCATGGTTTACTGTTTTCATAAACGGATATGCCAACGAGAAGAGAACTTCCTCTTTATGCTGGAGGTGCTTCCCAGAGCTGCTCAGGGTTGTTCCAGGAAGCTAACCCCACATCAATGGGTGATTTGGGGCATGTAAAGCCTGCAAGATTTATATCCTTTGGAAAACTTTCTCCTAGTACTTACCAAACAGTATTTTATCTTGATTATTAGCTACTGCATGGATAAGGCCAATTGTTCCACAGGAGTTACTGGCTGTCTGCTTTACAAAGTAGACTTCTGAGCTCACTTCTTGACCCTTCAGTTCTTCAATCTGCTTTTTTCTGAAGTTTTCATGCTATAATTTAAGTATATTCATTAGACAGCATCCATTGCTTTGTGTTTCATCACAAACTTGAACCCATCTGTGGGTAGTTCGCATGAACATGCTTCAACCAATTTTCTGTAGAAAGACATGTCTGCAATAACACAGCATGCATAACATATGCATCATACATGTTAACACCTACTCGAACCACACTGGATGAAGGGAAATACAGAATAGTCTTGAGCTGCAAAATTAAGGGCCAGGTAGTTCAAAGAACAAGGAAAATTTCCTTTGAGCCAACAGCTGTAGAGATAATGTTAAAGAGGTACCAAAATCCTAAAGCCCAGGAAGATCTAATACAAGACAAAGGGCAACATTAACACTTAACTGACAGCTTCTGTAACTTGTCAACCAGCACGTGTATGTCAAGGGGCTGCCACTGGAACTCAAGGTCAATTGATCGTTGGTTTTCAGCAACTGGGTGTCACCCACTCGCTTACACAAGCTTATGGTTCCATCACTACATTCCATCATTTGAGAAGGCATAAAGGCTCCAACTAGAGTGGTTTAAAGCCAAAAAAACCCCCAAAAAACCAAAACCCACCAACCACCACCAAGACTTCTGCAGCATCAGGCAACATGCATTCATTAAAAACAAAGACATACCCCCCACATGCCTAACTTTATAACAAGTACCAGCTATACCCATTTTCAAGACATATTTACTAATTGTCCTCATTCATTCAGTGGTGGCATGCTTCATCTACATGACTTCTGAGTCAAGTACAGCTTCTGATGACTTCAGGTCCATGTAGTCTTCCTGGCAGCAATACAGAAGTGATCTCCATGAAGGATTTCTATTCTGTTTTCCCATTTAGCCTACAGCCCTGGTATTCCTTGGAGATAACCCCTCCAAGTACCACCCAGACTCAACCCAGCTTAGCTCTCAAGCCTTCTATCTATTCACTGTACTCATTAAAATGGTCCCTCAAACTCCTCCAAAGTCTTTCCAACTATCCAATTTCTGTTCTCTTACAGTAACCCCCCTTATCTTCCAAGACAGGCTTTCATCTACCGCTGCATCAGTCTTTGCTCCTACTACCTTACATGTGAGAGCAAAATTCCATGATCACCATATTGTCCCATCTGTGGTTTGACTCCCTTAATGCCGCAGTGGGTTAGCTGCTGTTGAAGGTCTTCAGGACCTTCATGGACAGGGATGCGAACCACCCCCTGAATTACACACGCACCAGCCTTTCATCTGCTTCTGATTTACTTCAGTGTTGAAACCCCGTAGCACATGCAGCAAATTCCAGAGATGCCAAAATGACAATACACGTGCGATGATGTATACTCATGTGCTGTTAGGTACTTGCAGCTTCCTACTTGAAGCAAATAAGCTGTGGCTTTTGTGATGACTTCACATAACCTTTATCTGCCCCCCCTGCCTTTAACCCATAGACACCATCCTCAAAGCAACACATGTATCTTAAAAGATACTTCTGTCAATATTCTGCTTTAATGTATGGCTCAAAAGAGTGCCATTCTTCTAACATTCCAGGACACGCAGTAGTTATTAATTCTTGCTTCTAAGCAAATTTCTCTGGCTAGTAGCAAGCAGCAGGTCTCCAGAATATTTACTGTCAAATGTGCTATGCAGGTTTAACTAGGTTAACTGTTTCGGGCAAGATTCTCAAGGCAGTTTTGCAAATTCCTGGGATCCTGGTACGTGATATTACAGGTGCAATTCCACTTCAAGAGACCTCCGAAGATTAGATTAGCAAATTGCTTCCAATGTTACGAAGTATTATACGGAGAAGGATGGATGCGTCTACCTTCATTCACCTTTAGCACTCACCTGAGCAGTGAGGGGAAACAACAGCAGCAGTGCACAAGCTGGGTTTGGCACGGCACTCAAGGAGTCTTCCTCGAACCCCAACACATCCACAAACTGCCAGCCAGGGGAGACTCCTAGGCGGCAGAGCACCTACACGATCAAGGGAAACACATGCAGTCCTGGGTATCTCACGTTCACAAAACAGGCAAGCCACAGTTTGAATGTGCCACCAACAAGCAAATGATATTTTGGCTTAGCTGATCTACAAATTCAGCCAGAGAATCAATGACAACAATACTTCTCTGCTCTGGGTTCAAAACTGGGATAACTATTTCTTTTGAGTTTATTCCAGTGATGAGGAGGAGGCCCATCTGGACCCGGGGATAGATCAGAAACATTCCCAATTTAATAATACTAGCAATAAACTTTCCCTGTTTCACTCTCAATTACAGCAGGAGCAAGAACTCCATTCTGTTCTGGATTCAAAGTCCCAGTCTGGCAGCATCTAGTAAAAATGAAATGCCTCTATTATTATCTATTAGATGTAACACGGCCAGCCATTCTGTGAGTATGAAGCCTGGCTCTACTGGCCAAATGATGTGAGGTTCAGTGGAGTTGCGTTCAATCTGGAATCCTTTTATGGAAGGATGTTCTCACCCTTCAGGGACCGCGTTACAGATGTTAGCAACTGAAAGCAGCTGGTCCACGAAATCTCATTCAACGCCAGGGGAAAGGAGAGTGACTAGACAAAACGAGTCTCTTTCCGGGTGCATTTTGAGCACTAGGAAGCTGGATGCCGAAGACTCGCGCCTGCCCGGTCAAGGGCTTTAGCAGGGCCAGGGATAAGGGCGTGTGCCTGCGGGCGCTGCTGCAGCGGCTTTCGGAGTGTGTGTGCGGGTCCCTACAACAAAGGATGCTGAATCTTCCCCATGATGATGATGATGATGATGATGATGATGATGGGAA